GACTCTCTAGCTACACAGCCACCTCTCAATGAGCCAGACCCAGCTTGTGGCCTCCGTGGAAGGTCCACGTGGGATCTTAGTGTGGCGTAGCTTTCTCCTGCTGCTCAGCCTGAGACTGAGCTGAGCCACACTCCCCTCCCCTCCCCTGCTCCCCTCTTCCCCTGCCCGACTGTCACGGGCTCTGAGAATATTAGTTAATTTTAATATTAGCCTAAGAAAGATTAATTAGGAAGGCAAATTTGCTCTTAAAAGTGTAATTAATTCCAAAGCCAAAGAGAAGAGAGCTACAGCTTATCTGCATTGCCGCTGCCTTAAAGGAGTGTGGAGAATCAAGGGCTGACTAAATGAGCACAGAATAATTTTTTAAGTGTCAGTGCTGTGTCGACTAAACTCCAGATAGTTCCTTGAAGCGGGCTCATGGCTGAGACAAAAGATTTAGACGGAGGTGGTGCCTGTGCAAGTGAGACAAAGAGGAAACCTCCAATCAGACATCCTGTCTGGACTGTTCCGGCTCCCAAATCATTCACAAATCATGTGTCTTCCTCTCTTGTCCTCCCACAGCCTGGCCTGGTCCAGGTCGGAGTCAACTCTTTTCTGGACTATTGCAATAACTCCCCCAGGTAGCCTCCAGACTCTGCCCTACCAACTCATTCTCCACTCAGAATCAAACTGAAATTGTATCAAACGCATAAACACATCGTCCTCTACCTAGTGTCAAACATCAATTTGGTCATGCCATGTGCCACTTACAAACGTCCAAATGTGCCTGGAGGCGATTAAGTCCTTAGCCTGGCCCACAGAGCTCTTCATAAAGTGGCCAGACCTGTCCACCTGGTTGATTTCCCTCTCGCTCACCACATCCTAGAATGACTGTCCCCAGCCCCCTTGTTACAGGGCAAACTACTGTTCATTCTAGAAGTCTAAGCCCGAATGAAACTTTCAACCCTTAGAACCTTCCAATTCTGGGTTCCTGGAGCACTGCAGCTTATTTTCTTGTAGTTATTTGCTTTCTTTTCTCTTTAAGGAAATGCGCTCCTTAAAAGAAGGACTGTAGCTTTTGTATCTTTGTATTCTCTTCTTTCTCCCCTAAGTTAGGCCAAGCATAAAGTCTGTCCCATAGGAGATGATCAATAAATATTTGTTGAAATAAATTGGTCAGTTGATGGTTTCAACAATGATGCCAACTGGATTAGCTCACTGAAACTCAAACTTCCTTCTTTCTCCCCCAGTCAATAGTAAGTCCAGCTTGAAATATCTGGGGAAATGCCTCAGTTCTCCATTTCCTTGTACCTGCCCAGCTGAGGTTCAGAGGTCCCGGTGGATTCGGGAGGAAAGTTGCGGGAGACTCTGCAAGCCATGCAGACTTCAGCCTGACAGCTGCTGGTCTTTGCGTTAATTTCCCCCTTTGCAAATGGTTATTGGCAATTGAAACTGCAAATCTACTATCTGCTCCCCTAGGTAAATTGCATTTACATTTAAATTGTTCATTCTTCCAAAGGATGGGGTTAGTAAATAACAGCAGATTAAACTTGAGGAGAGGAAATTGTGCCCCATGTCAAACCTGAGACTGAAGTGACATCTGGCTTTTACTATTTCCGTTATTTCAGTTTAATAACAGCATGTGGCATTAAGGGAAAAGAAATTGGATCTACATTTTAATGAAAGGAGGAAGCTCTCAGGGTTTAGATACCTTATCATGTTGAATACCTAGTCAATTGGCAATTAAAACTTGTTTCCCTGGAGAAATGGAATAAAACATCTTTGCAGCCGTGGAGAGGATAAAACGAAAAACAAGCTAATGACCAGGACTTCACAGATAAAACCAAGGGAAACGGGTGCTATAAACATCAAAACCAAGTATTTCAGGATACTGCAGAGTACAGGAATTCTTAAACAGCATAACACTGAGAATAGAATCATGGATATGCCAGTGGGATCCTCAAGAGAATAACTTCAGATAGAATGGTTTGCAAATAATAGGGGGCTCAACCCAATCAGATCATCTGATTGAATCCTTTGTCAACCTAGCTTGGTTTTAAACCCCACAGGCCTGACCAAGAAAATATTTTAGAAATGCCAGTTTCATCCCAATAGTCTGTTGAAATGGAAGCAGTCCCACCTGCTGGCTGCTTTTTTGTTGAAAGCAGTTCTGGGAAATGTGGGTAAAACGCTTGTGCATCCTAATAACCCAAGCCTATCATTTGTTTGCTTTGATTGAAACAAATGTGTCAATTTTCAAAGTCTTTGTTTGGTAAATCCAGTGTTCAGATGTTGGCAAATGTTCGAGTTGCATGTTTGTTTGGAAACTGATGCTCTATTCAGAAACTCTAGAGCCATAGCCCTTGGAACCACAGCCTGGGATCACCCGATGAGCTCCCTGACTATGCATGCAAAGATGGTCCGTCCTTTCCCAGTATCTGGAAAGTGTTGAAATGATAGACTCCCATGGGCAAGTGTAAGTGGGATGGAGCCTCCTAAGAAAGAGACTGGATGTAGAATTTTTCTGAGGCTAGGGCTCATGAAAAATTAGAACAACGGAAAACATCTATATGGTACTTACTATGTGCCAAGCCCTTTATGTGTATTATAACTCAGTGAATCCACATAACAGCCCTGTGAGATAGGTACAGTTTTCATCCCCATTACAGACGAAGTAAAGGAGACACAGTGAGGTTAGTAACTTACCCCACCCAATGTCACCCAGCCGGTAAGAGACAGAGCTGGGATTTGACTCTAGCCAGGCTGGCTCTACTGTCCCCTTAACCCCTTCCAGTGATTTCCTCCTATCTCTGGTATTTAATGAAAGCATTGTGTTTTCACAAAGTTATATTGTCTTGCATAATTGTTTTTAAAGTCTTAGCAGTCTTTTTTGAAATACCCAAGCTAATTGTCTGGGGGATTTTCCTTAAACAAAATAAAGCAACAATAACAGAAACTAGCCTCTGCAATATGGACAATAATATCTGTGCTGGAGGTCTTACAGGAGTGTGCAGAGGATGAAATGAGAAGATATGAGAGTGCTTTGGAAAGGCCAAAGCCATCAAACTTCTGCGACATATTATTTATCTATAGTCCATACTGATTCTTATTCCTACATGAGCAGTTCCTTAACAAGTCAATACGGGTTTCTGCCACTTTCTTTTGTCCCCTAGAGTAATATGACCAAATTACCCAACTACTACTGTAAGTCTTCTGATAATGGCCTAGTCACTTGAGTCTGTTTGATTTCTCCTTTATCTTCCCAGTTTCTTGGCACCATTTGGTCTGGTAGCAGCTCCTTCTTACTCCCTGTGCATAATGATAACTTCTCTGTGTCTCTTGACATTTTACCATGGCAGTCTGTCTGCCTGTGAAGTCGACCAGTGCCTCCTTCTGTTTGAACTCAGGTTAAATTAATCATCTGACTTTCACATCAGTCTGTTGCCATGGGGCTTCTGATGTCACACTGTCAGTATTATGATTACCATAATACCTAACAGGCAAAAAGGGATTGGTTGCTAGTGGAAACCCTTGGGTGAAACTCACACAGTTTTAGTAACCAACCCAACTGCATAGACTTTAGACAACCATGTAAATGGGTAAGTGGATTAATCATTCAGTTGGATTCCATGTGAATATTGTTCTTCCATATGTGTGTTCCCTTTAAGCAATCGTCTAGTGTCACTTGAAACTGATGAGGGCTCTTTTGGAGGTTATTTTTGGGAAGGTGGTGAAACAACAGACAGCTGTTCTTGGGAACAAGTGTCATAGGATCTGCCTAAGCTAGCTTCCAGTTAAAAAAAGTCTGAGGTGCATTGTCCTTTCCTTCATAACATTAGGTTGTTTACTAGTGGCCTGAAAGTGTCAGTTCAGCTTCCCAAACACCTAGGAAAGAAGGAAACTTACATTTACTAAGAACCTACTGTGTGCCAGGATGTGACTCTGGTCAAAGTATAGCTTTAAGGTGGAGAACTGGTAAGCTAGGTGTTCTTGAACAACCCTGTTACACACGACAATTCGCAGCTTTTTCCAGCTTGTATACAATGTTCTTCCTAATTGGACATTGACTGACCACCAATAAAGGCAAAGTCAGCACTTAAAATTGGTCCAGATCCTCCTATGCTGAGTAGTTGTCTTGCAGTCATTTTCACTGCAATATTAAAAGACTGGAAACATAATAGAAACGAGGTACAATAAATAAACTCCTGAATTAAAAGGTTTGTTAAAAGGTTGGACAAATGCGTCTGTCTTTTTAGGATCTTGTTAAGTAGGTGGAGGGGTCACTTTTAGGGGATAAAGGGATCAACGGAATAAAACTGATTGAACTTGAGGCTGTGCAGATTTGGAAAGCCATATCAAGACTTGCCTAAATCTATATAAATCAATTTGTGTGCCAGAGAATGAAGAGCTGACTTTTTTCAAATGCCAATTCAGCAATTACAAAGTCTGCTGGTGGTTAATTAAAAACTACCATCTCATTATGTTCAGAGTTAAATTACAAGTGTGAAAAGACTACTGTTTGCAATAACTGAATGCTCTGTACTCTCTGTGCTCTCATCAAAAGGAGGGCAGGGATAAATAACTTTTATTTAACTCACTGAAAAATCTCTCTCAGCTCTTTCATGTTTAATTAACTTCTTCCCAGAGCTTGGGTCTTAACTTAGAGTTCCTAAGCAGTAATGGAAATATCTGTTCATTTTGTGCAGAAGATTTTTCTTCCATTAGTTGAGTAGAAAAGTTAGATATAATTGAACCCCAAAGACGCTGGGGAAAGTGACACCCATCCAAAGATTTTCATTGAGGCCACTAAATCCAGAAGAGATTTATGACAGAAAAATGGCAGAAAATGGTGATTTTTTGCTTTACTGCTTGTGTGCCTCCAAGATTGGGGAGCTGGGGTCATAAACACTTCTGTGGACCGGTCAAGTTTTAGTTCTCATTTGTAAGTCTGTCTTAAGGAACTTAATGTTTTGCTATTTCAAGGATTCCACTGTCAGAAAGGAGACCAAACTTTTATCACCATGGTGGATGTGAAGTGTCTGAGTGACGATGAATTACAGAACGAACTTGACAAGTTTGGATTTTCACCTGGCCCAATACTACGTATGTATGCAGCAAGTATTAGAGACTACTCAATGATTACCTATAAGCTACCTCCAAAGATCGAGAATTATTTACAGTGGAAGGAACCTATGCAATAAAAACCATTAAAATAGAAAGAGGAAAAAAATTTAAAACCCAGCTCTTACTCACAGATTAGTAAATTTGGTGCCAAAGAGGAAGGATTGTTTTTTTACAGTAGTGAAACACCAGTTACTCTGGATTATATCACCCTGGGCTCTTTATGCATTTCTAGTATGTGCACTGTGTTAACTGTTTATGTACTTACTGTCCATATTTCCCGCACATAGGATGTACAACTTCGTCTGTCTTGTTCCCCAATGTACCCAATGTCTGACTCCGTGGCCAGTCCACAGAGGCCCCACCTTAAGTGATGGTGGAAGGAAAGGAGTGAGTTGAGTAGTTGTGGGGTCTACCTTATCGTAAAAGCCATAATTAGCCAATAATGTAAGATACAAGAATAAGGACCTGAACTGTGAAATATTTTGAATCCAGTGAGATCACATACACAAACAGAGCAACTTAACTGCTCTCCACGTTCCTCCTCAGCTTCCACCAGAAAAGTGAAGGAAAAGAAGTTAGTGCAATTGTTGGTCTCAACTCCCTGTGCATCACCCGAGATGAACGGACCCAGAGAACTGGACAGAGCTCAGGACTATGATGACAGTGAAGGTACCATCAGAAGCTGTACTGTAGATAGCAGCTGTGCGCTTACTCATACCTTGTCCGGCATGATTTATGCAGCTTTAAATGGTAGGCAGGGTGACCTGTGAAATATCCCTACGGGCTCTTTGCACACAGAGCCTGGAAAATAGGCCCTTGGGCTGCAAAAGGAATCTGTTAACTCCATGTCTACATTCATGCCAGTGCCTCAGTGGGGTAGACTGTCAGGGGAAGGACTGGTCATTCTGCACGTTCTCTTACTAAACAGAGCCAACTCTGTGTTTGATTTCTAAAACCGGAAGTTCCTACAGGTGATTTCCAGGTCTCTTTTGAGGTCTCAACCTCTGCTTTGCCTCAATCAATAAATTTGACAATGATTTTCTTCAGATTAAACGATTGCACATCCATTAAGAAATATGAACTAGGGACTTCCCTGGTGGCGCAGTGGTTAAGAATCCGCCTGCCAATGCAGGGGACACGGGTTTGAGCCCTGGTCCGGGAAGATCCCACATGCCACGGAGCAACTAAGCCTGTGCGCCACAACTAATGAGCCTGCGCTCTAGAGCCCGCGAGCCGCAACTACTGAGCCCACGTACCACAACTACTGAAGCCTGCGCGCCTAAAGCCCATGCTCCGCAACAAGAGAAGCCACCGCACTGAGTAGCCCGCACACCGCAACGAAGAGCAGCCCCCGCTTGCCGCAACTAGAGAAAGCTCGCACACAGCAACAAAGACCCAACACAGCCAAAAATAAAATATAAATAAATTTTTTTAAAAATTAAAAAAAAATGAAATATGAACTAGGTTGCACCTCTCCAAACTCCTCCTGTGCCTACTGCCTTCCTGATTTAATCTGGGCTGACCACAGCTGGTCTCTTCCAGGTCCCAGGGAGGGCGGGAGTGGTGAACTCTGGGATCCGTGGGTTTCCCTTTAAGTGGCCCCTGCCCCAGGTGCACCGTTCTCCTGCAGGGGTGTCCAGTTTGGGCTCTTAGGGGTGGGCTTGAAGATTCCCACAATGCATTCCGAGGCTCTTTCATCCAATAAATATTTATTAGGAGTCCTATGTGAGCCGCAGTAAAATAACAGAAACTATCACTTATTGAAGGCCATCAGTGCATTTCTGGCCTAACAGGCATTATCTCATTTAACCTTCACAATACTTAGGTGAAGTTCAGACAGGCCAGGTGACTGGCCCAACATCATATAGCTAGGAAGTAGCCCCCAAAGATAAGCTTCCATTAGAAGGTGCCATGAAGAGTGAGGTCCGTCTGTCTTCATTACCATCACGTGTCCAGGTCCTAGAACAGTACTAGGCACACAGCAGGAATTCGCATATATTGAATATACTGTGACAGAACTGAGATTTGAACCCGGGTCTGGCTGTCATAATTGTGCTCTTTCAACCACATACTCTACACTTTTCTCACAATTTCTATTATGAGGATGAACAGATGACATTTTTGTCCATGTCTGGACAAAAAATGGCAGTTTCATATAGTTCAAATTAAGAGCTCAACAAACAATGTAAGTGCCTGGGGCCCTCTGAAAAGTCCCCTGTAACGCCTGGTATTGGTGGTGGCGCAGGCACTGGGAGCTTTCCCCGAGAGTCTGGCATGGCCTCATTTGGAAATGGCAGCAAAGTTTGGGGACAGACCCCACTGGCCCCTGAGCAGAACAGCTGGCATGGGGGTACCTCAAGGCAAGTGACGACCCCAGACCCTTTCTGGATGTGAGATGCCTTCAAAGTCTTGACCCAGACCTGGGGCTGCCTCTGTTCCCTGCCAAAGATACGAGCTGAGGGGACTAGACCAGCCCTCTGATGAAAAGCAGTGTCAGACTAGAAGATTCCAGAGAGGAAGGCTTGTACACTCACTGCTCACGACTGCCCAGGACTGCAGGTCAGACCTGCACAAGCAAGCTGTTGTGGTCTCAAGCCATCCCGGTTCCCAGCATGTAGCCCTCCGAAGAGGTGCATTTATGCGAGGGCTAGGAGAAAGCTGGTCCTTCGGTTTGCTTTAGACTGTCTACCTGATGCTAGCCAACTGCGGGCAGTCAGGTCAGAGGGGGAAGCTCTGGTTCAGTCCTACTCTTGTAATGCTATTCTGCAGTGTCAATGGCCGGTGGTTAATACAAACAGAAAACCTGCTTCTCAAGGTCAGGTCTGAATTGGATGTTTGAATCTGCCCGTTGAGGACCCTCAATAAGACCCTAGTGCCATTAGAATGGAGGGGTTGTCATGGAACTCATGGGATCTTGTGGAATTCAGCCTTGGGCATTTCACAGAGACATCCTGGCCTGGGGTGGGGTTGTGCTGGAGGGGCAGGGCAGTTCCAGACCTGAGGCTGAGCATTAGGTCATCCAAACAATGGGTGGATTCGATTTTTCTCATTTTCACTCATTGTTTTGTCACTAGGTGGACATAGCGTTAATGATCTCACCTCTTTTCAAACTTCCCAAATATCTGTGACATGGAGAACTCATTTAAAATCCCCTGCATTAGGGCTTCTCTGGTGGCGCAGTGGTTGGGAATCCGCCTGCCAATGCAGGAGACATGGGTTCGAGCCCTGGTCCGGGAGGATCCCACATGCTGCGGAGCAGCTAGGCCCGTGCGCCACAACTGCTGAGCCTGCGCTCCAGAGCCCACCTGCCACAATTACTGAGCACACGTACCACAATAACTGAAGCCCATGCTTCAGGAGAAGCCACCGCAATGAGAGGCCTGTGCACCGCAAGGAACAGTGGCCCCTGCTCACCACAACTGGAGAAAGCCTGTGCGCAGCAAAGAGGACCCAATGCAGCAAAAAATAAAAATAAATTAATTAATAAAATCCCCTGCATTAAAACCTCTGCTGAATGTCCAACAGCACACAACTGCTCCAAGTTTATCAAAATGCTTCTTCACAGACTGAAGCCGAGGGTTGATCAACAACCTTTTCTGCTCCTGGCGGTTCCCCTGCTTTTAAAGCCTTTTTGCACAGGTTTGGCCTGCCCTCCCCTGCATGCTTCTTGGGATACAGAAGAAATCCTCCTTCCCTATCTTGACAATCAGGGATGCATGAGGCTTACAGCTGCTTTGAAGGGGCAATGACTAGACTAAAAACGCGCCCAGATGAGCAGCCAGCTCAGGCTCTGCAATGTATTTCTCGCAGAGGCGTACAAATGTGACAGCCTCCCTGGTAGAAGCCCTCCCTGTGCTCCCAGGGGAAGGCCTGTGTGTTCCACAAAGGCCACTGCAGAAATGTTCTTTTCCCTCAGAAAGGCAAAGTGAATTTTCTTCCCCTCACAAAAATCTTTGCCCTACAGTTGAGAGAATTCACTCCTACCATTGGTGTGTATTCCCTTTGCTAGCTCATATGTTCTCATGGCCTATTTTCCTTTTGTTTCCCATGATCCAGAGCTTAATGCCACTATCATTTTGAAAGGAAATATCATATTCTCATCAGAAAAAAACAAGGGACCCAAAAAAGTATGTACAATTCTAATGCATGAATACTTTTACACATATATTAAATATAGAAAGTAGCACTTTTCATGTGTATTAAGAAGGGAAATAGAGAGTCACTACATTCTGTTACAATGGTAAAATCCTGGTTTAAAACAGCTCATTTTAATGAAGGTTTCTGTTTTCTGAAACTATTTCCACGTTCTAGCATAGGACCCAGAGTCACAGTGTCCCCCTGCGCCATCTCCTCACCCTGAGATAGCCACCCTCTCTCGCCTCCAGCTGTTGTCCCCTCTCTCTCCTTTTGCCGCCCGTGGTCTCGTATAGACCCACAGTGAGCATGGAATAACTGTGAGTTCCTGTTCCCGTCTCTCTCTCTCTCTCTCTCTCCCGGACACTGCGGTCATTGAAGCACAAGACCAGGTGTGTGAGAGTAACAGGTTTGGGTAAGCCCAGCCGGCTTAGAGACCCTGCCCTTCCACTTGCTAGTTGTGCGACCTTAACAGATCTAAGCCTCCCCTAGTGCAGCGCTTAATAGCAGCGTCCGCTTACAGGGTGGCTGGGAAGGGAAAGGCCAGTAACGCTCTTAGCCCTGGACCTGGCACATCATTAGCTCACATAATGAACTCCAGGTCGTCAACTCTAGGGAGCCTTTCTCAGTCTTCTGACCACTGTCCCTCCTTATTTAGAGACACCTGCTTTCTTCGGTTTTGGCAGCTCTGTGCTCTCTTGGTTCTACCCTCTTCCTGTTCTGTGCTGAGTCTTTGTCTTTTGACCCCTAAAGAAGCTTGTGCCTGAGGTCTGTCTTCAGCCCTCTTCCCTTCCCTTGCTGTCTCCTCACTTCCCGCCTCTATGTCGTGACTCCACATAGAACCTCCACACAGGACACCCCTCCTAGGCTTAGGCCTGCATATCCAGCTGCTTTCTGTCCTGGAGAACTCCTTCCTTCTCCTTCTCTTCCCCTCCTGCTTTCCCTCCTTCCCGCATTCACCCAACAAATGTTTGTCATTATGAACATTTCAAAGATTAGATATATGTATTTATACTTCCCCCTGGGGTTATATTCCAGCACCTCACATTCAGGGTATCCAGGATCAAGCTCATTTTCACTCACCCCAACCTGCATTTGTGGCCTCTGTTTATCCTGATGGCTTTACTGCCTTCCCACTGTCCAGGCTCAAAGCCTCCCCTCAGCTCCTTAGGTATAAATAATTGCCAAGTCCCATGGATTAGAATTATGAGTTTTTAAAAAATTATCCCCCCTTCTCTTCCCACTGCTGCTATCTTAGCTTGCGTTCAGCTACTTAAAAACAATTTTTTTTTTTTAACAGTTGCAAAATCCTCCTAACTGGCCTCTTCCTCCAACTTTTCCCAATTCAGGTCCAACTCTATCAGCAGAGATTGAATCACATTATTAATTTGCCTGGAGACTTTACAACAAGAGGCAAACTTACTATGCACCATGAGGAGACACCAATGTCTCCTGTAACTTTCTCTCCCTCATCGTCGGATCCAAACCATAATTACTTGTTTCTGCATCTCTCACACTTTCTTCCCACGTGCCTTTGCCTCAACTGTTCTTTATG